TATAAGTTCTGCTGTCAACGCGAAAACACTTTTTTTCGATGGGGTCACCGGAAATGACGTCGCAATGGCTGAGTTTAAAATATTTTTCAAGCAAAAATTCAGAAAATCTTTAAATATGTATCTTAAATACTATAAAAAGTTTGAATAAGAATTGCATTTTTTATATAGAAAAAAAAAAAATTGTTGAAAATATGCTATTTTTTCCCGATGTAAACCCATGTAACCACTTAAGCTGCTTACGTATTTTTTTCGGACATATGCCAAAACACACACACAATCTTTTTATGATATTGATTATACTTACTGATCTCGAGCTGTCGTTGTATTCTTCCCTTACACCGTTCCCTATAATCGGTTTGCGTTCGATTGTATTCCGACATAACTTCTACGAACTTCCTAGATAACGTTGAATGTTGGGTCTTGCGTATCCTCAGATCGGCCGACGATTTGTTCGTGTGCTCTTCCTGCTCGATATTCTGTTCTATCACTAAATGCAAAAACATCAAGAAAACGGGGGACCGGGGTAAGGTGGGACGGAGAAAGGAATGAAAAAAAAAATCGAAAAAAAAATCCAGAGAGAGAGAGAGAGAAGCACGAAAGAGATAATAAGGAATAATAATTTTTTTTCGATAATTTACTTGACGACGAAAAAAAAAAAAAAAAAGGAAGAAGAAGAATAAGAATTAGAATGATCAATTAGTCAAGGGGGTCGGTTGGGGTGGAGGAGTTTTAAAAATTGTTCACTCTGGATTCTCTAATTAAAAGCTTGTTTTTTTTTGTTGTTGCTTTCTTCCATACCTATATACATACATACATACATAGAAAACCCATAGAATGAGACGTAGTACGGGGTTGTATTTCACGTGTTGATATTAAATGCGAAGAGGAAAAAACTTGTCTAAAGTATTTTTATATTACCATAGGGGATGTTATTTAAAAGGTATTTGATTCTATATATATATATATATATATATATATATATAAAACTCGGAAGATCAAGTTTTAATATATCCTTACGTGACCTCTCACTCCTTATATGCGTGAAGGAGAGAATAACTCAACACAAAATAAAAAAAAAAAAAAAAAAACCTTCACGCCTACGTAATCCCGGGTATACATTTAGCTGACATTTAACCCCTTTAACGTTTAATCAGACAAATATTTCTAATAAACGTTGTGGTGTGTTTTTTATTTGTCCCATGGTTTATGCGATAATATCCATCCCGTGGTGACCTTTGGTGAGTTTTAATAGTGTCATCGAAAAAAAAGGAGAATAAAAAAAAGATCTTTTTCCTTCTTCTTCTTCTTGCTAACGTACTTAAAAATTGCAATCTACTTATGTGTTGTGTTACATAGGATGCATTAAGAATACAATTTGGCAATATGCCAAAAGATAAGATAAAAGCTCATTGTCAGAAATAAAAGGGGCTTGGTCCAGTCAAGATGAAGAAAGTATAGACAATAAGATAAGGAGAGAAAGAGAGAGAGAGAAAATTGCTGTAGTATACAGATTTAACGTAAAATTGTGTTATCCTCTATGTTTCATTTTCCATTATTCTCTCGAATATTTCTCTTTGAATTCGAATAGAATACAAATAGGAATTGAAATTCTCTTCACTTTAGTTAGATCTAAGCGTCGTTATACATTATATATCACATTTATTCGTCCAATAATATATTTCTTTTGAAAAGAATATCTTTGATGCGTGTTATTATATTAAATATCGTTTCACAACACACCAACAACGAATAGAAAGATTGTGTGGAAGCCTTAGCACGATGAAGCCCCTAATCAGATTATCCTACCAACAGAGAGACAGATATACCTATGGATTATCTTTTCGAATATGTACTTTGAAAACCCTTTTTAATAAATATCGTAATATTTGATTGTCGTTCGATCATTTGATATTTAAAACACGTTCGCGTGATAGTCAAAATTTCAGCGAGGAAAATAAAAATAAAAATATTTTATTTTTAAATTAGTTGTGATATACAAAATTTGATTAAAAACATTTTATAAGAGCACTCAGATTAATTATATATTATAGAATTAGTTAGTAATTATCTTTACAGGTATAATCATTACTAAAACTTAAGGTTATAGAATATAAAATTGAAAATTAATTAGCTTTCAAATTTAAATGCTATAGCATTCACTTTCGCGAACGTGTTAAAAAAGGAAATTAGATAAAGAAATTACAAAGATTAGAAAATAAATCAAAACTCGTATATATTATAATTATTATATTACATAGTAAAGAAAAAATTTGTTGGAAAATTATATGGGGTTATTGTATTCGATTCGATTGTTCATTTTCTCGACAGGTTACTATATCACCACCATCGTGTTACCCCGTTTGTTAAGAGTTGAGTAAAATGACGACAAATCGGGGTCGTTTACACGAAACTTTAACCGAAAACTCCCACCACCTGCTGAGAAAGCAACGAGCTAGTCTTCTCTTTTCTCTTTCCTCCTCCTCTTCCTTCGTCTCGTTTTGCCCTACCATTCTGAAACCTCCTCTCGAAACAAGTCGAGAGAGTTAAAAGTGGTGGTAGTGGTGGTGGGTTTTAACCGCAAATGAATCCGGTGAACTGGAACCCCTGAAGAAGTCGACCTCGTATATCTATACTCGAGAATACTATGTCGAAACGATTTATAATTAGATACGCGAACAACTTGAAATTTTTTAATCTTTTATATGGAACAAATTTGTTTCTAAATTTTTAGATACTATTTTATATTTTATTATGTTTCGAATAAAATATACCTAATCGATTTGTTATATTATTTAGATTCGGTATATAAAACAAATTTAGAAAGAATTATATAAAACGAATTGTTTTCTCAATTTTTAGATACTATCTTATATCTTATTATCTATCGAATAAAATACCTAATCGATTTGTTATATTATCTAGATTCGGTATATAAAATAAATTTAGAAAGAATTATATAGAACGTATTTGTTTCTAAATTTGTAGATACTATCTTATATTTTATTATGTATCGAATAAAATACTTAATCGATTTGTTATATTATCTAAATTCGGTATATAAAATAAATTTAGAAAGAATTATATAGAACTAATTTGTTTCTAAATTTTTAGATACTATCTTATATATCTTATTATCTATCGAATAAAATACCTAATCGATTTGTTATAATATGTTATCTAGATGCAATCTAGATTTAAACGTTCTGTTACGATAAAAATCAAAAAATTATAAAATATCTTCATTTTTCTTTCAGATGACGTAAAAGGGGGAAAAGGACTATATATAAAAAAAAACAGATAAAAAAGGAAGAAGGGATGCTCATCGAAGCTGAAGAGAAGATATCAGAAAATTTGGACCGATGCCAAACAATTAAAGAAGACAGAGATACTATTGTAATAGAAATACCAATTTCTAGAATTATGCCGTAACAAACTAATAATATCGCAATACAAGAAGAAAATCAACGAAGGACGAAAAGAAGGATTGTTTATCTTAGGATAAATCAAATTTCTAACATAAAATCATGAAGAAACTTTTAATTATACGAATCCGTAATATTCCTTACTTCCTTCCTTTCCTTCTTCCCTTCTTTATCGACTTTTGAGTTATGTTTTCCTTTTGAGAATTATTTGAAACAGTTAGAGAAACGATTATTCGCATCCCTCTTCTTATCATACATTTATAACACAATATTATTACAACAATTTGGCATTCGTAGTTTACTAGGATGAAAAGGGAATGGGGTATGTTCATATTTGATCATTTAATCCTTTCAGAATTTCTCACAAATCAGCGGAAAGTTTATTTTCTCGAGAAAAACAAGTCAAATAATGTATTCCGTTATTCGTGAGAACGATATACAAAAGTTAAATTCAGTCCATTAACCCTGAGTGAGACACGTAATACTTAGAATTATTGAAAATAGTTGCGTTTCGCATTTATGTAACAGTTGGAATAGAAAATTTAGGGCAATGCCAAATGGAAACTTGCCAAATTTATACTTTACCTAAGTTTTTATCCATAATCGAAAATTCTCCCTTAACGCGTTTTCTTTATATTAGTTTAAAGAAAAGTTAATAAAAGAAACAAACGTAGTTTGAATTAGATTATAATAAATTAGTTTGTATGCATAATCGTAAATTGAAAATAGTTTTTATATCTTTATTATTTTATATTACATTGTATCTCATATTTATATATACAAATTTTCAAATAATCTATTTAACCTTTTAGATACGACAGAACTCTACGTGTGGCTATTTCACTGGACAGCAGGGTCTGACGCGAACAACGTATAATTGATATAACACTGCAAAGTGTGGCGGGCAATTCCGTTCTGTGCACGAGAACATTCAAATGAAGTATTTGATGATTAAGTCATAATTTTTTAAAAATATATATATTTCACATGCTTTAACTATAACATTCCACTTTAATAACTAATAATAT